GTTAGGGCTGATTCCCATAGACTTGGGAGTAGCTGGGTTAGGGTATTCTGTGGTGCCTTAGTATGCCATGGTCTGTGTGATCCCTTGGATATGTGCTGATGAACTTCTTAAAATCACATAACCTACCCCTCACTGCTGAAATAAGTATCTTTGAGCTTTTCTCTCATTTGCACCACCATAACACATCTCCAAGTTTCTGGAGTTCCAGCAAGTACCCTTGCCATAGGGTGATGCTGTTTGGCAGAGGAATCAAGGGCCAGAATGCGACACTATATTAAAATCACACTGTCAGTTTTGGTTTTTTTTCTTTAATAATAGCTCTGTGCTACTCTGGTGGTGTGAAAGCAACACACAGTCGGAGTGAAGGGATAAATGAGCAGAATCTTATGTCCTAGTAAAAATGTCAGTATAGGAATGGTAAAAGGCAAAGCCTCCACAAGTTGGCCACAAAGTGCGTACAAATTTTGGAGAGTGTGTGAACGTTTTAGAGAGGGGCTTCCAAAGGGAAGGTTTATTACAGTGATTTTACTTACAGGGTGAATGAGAGCTGGTGCAGATAGAGGAACAGATACCTGAGAAATGAGGGTCAAAGTGCTGGCTTTTGAGATACTGTTGAATGCTAATGGCCTGCTGGGCTCTATCTGGATTCCGCAGGTATGGGACTTGCTCCATCCACCACTCTGTATGAATGAATGCATCCACCACTCTGCATGTATGAATGCATAAAACCAGGAGAGAGCAAAACCCTGTGGTTTATCTCTTCTTGCAGTATTCAGGCAGGAACTCTGAGTCTCAGTGACTGTTTCCTGGGTTTGGCAGTTTGCTTTTTTGATGCATAATCTTTCCTCCTGCATTTGAGATCAGCCAGGACAGACTAATCCCAAGATTAAGGCAGATCAGATGAAGGACTGTTTCCATAGCAGATGCTGTCATGTGAGTGCTGAGTCCCTCTTGCGATAGAGTAAGGCCATAGGGCAATGCAGATGGTGCAGTGCAGGTGCAATCCTGTTTGTCTTGAATAACTGTCAACTCTGTTGTAGTTCCTTTTTCCCCAGCAGAAAACAAACCCCACCAAGCATCCAATTAAGGTGACTGAATTGGTTGAAATTCTAACCCTGGCTTGCATCTACAGCTCTTCTGAATAATGATCTTCAACAAGGTTTGTGTTAGCTCATGTTTGACTTGTTGAGTAGCAGCTTGTATAATCCTGGAGCCAGCTGCAGGAAGGGACTGTCTGCTGACTACCCTAAGGACTGCCCTGTGTAGCTGCACACTCAACTGTGTTGAAAAAAATCTAAGAGCTACCCTCAAAAATTACTTACGCAGGTCTAATGAGTAAGTCCTTTGACAGAAATTGATACTACTGAGACAGTTCCTTAAAATCACAGCAGTTTATTTTAGTATCATCTTGGGATGAGGCTTTCTACTAAATGGAGAAAACAAGGTTATCTGTGAGGTGTAGCTGTTATTTCAATATTTAGATTGGAAAGCTTAATATCCTTCTGAAACAAAATATAGTTACAGTTCCTATGACAACTGTTTCTCTCTCCTCTGGAGCATGGGCTAACGACAGAATTTCATTACATGGTCATGTAACACGGGGCACTGTGACAGCCTTGTCATCTCCACTCCTCTGTTTGCTCCTAAATAGCATTTAGCTGAAGCCCACTTGTGCAGAACATGAATTGCAGTGACTGACCTTCACTGTGCTTGTTGCCTGCCACCTCTGACTACCCAGCTTCCCGCTTTTCATCAGTAGGCTCACTTTCTACCAAAATGCAGTTGGTATGTTGAATTTTATTTGACAAAAAATTCTAGAAACTTACTTCAGTGGTAGAAATTCTATACACTGACACTAATTAAGAATAGCATCTTAACAAGTACACAGAGTACTGATCTGCTGACAAAAACTTGTGAGTGTAGCAGCCAAACCAAACTATTCAGCAGATTCCTGTAGTTACTTCTGAAACACACTTAAGAAAAACTATAACAAGTTGAACAGATATATTAAAAGACTTTATTCACAATAGAGAAATTTTTACAAATATAAGTTCTTAAAAATTAAGCATCTTGATCTATTATGTATTCCATAATTTGTTTATATAAAGATGAAGACTAAATGGAATATGTACAAATCAAAACCAATTTAAATACATGATAGAAATGGATATGTATGAAGTCACCATAGAAACAGTGAGCCATTGAGCATTGCAAAAATCTGTGTACAACCAACACATATGCAATACTTATCTCACAAAAAATCAAAAATTATTTTTTCCCCCATGAAAAAATATGGGTGCCATTTAAACTGATCTAACTCTTATGACCTAACATATACAGATTTAAATGCCTTATCATGCTACAACGAAATGGAATAAGTATGGGCAGTGTGTTTATGCAAAGATAATGTGTCCATGTCCTTGTCCCTATCTGTGTGTCTCCTCCCTCCCCCCAATAACAAGCAATTTCTTTTGCTGTTATCAATGACTGGGAACACAAAGTGATCATTACTAGCTACTTCCATGCAGCTAGTTAAGTGAATGGAAATAAAATGCATATTATTTCAGCAATCTAACAAGCAATGGTAAGTGTGGACTGTTTCAAAATGATTGCTCTAACTTTGGTGTTTTGGGGTTATTTAAAAAAAAAAGATAAATCAATATATTCTCAGTTTATGAAAATTTTTTTTCTTACAGTTGGCAGATCTACACGTTGTACAATCTTCTCGTCTACTTACATTAGTTTACAAAAAGTACAGTATAGTGCAGTTTGTACATACAACCTGAATACCAATACCAGTCACATCAAATTTGTGCTCTTTCAAATCATCATAACTCCCACACTGGAAAAAAAAACATATGAAATGTCTGTATGACAAGGAAACAGTCGTGATGCTTCTATTTAAGTACATAAGACCCAATGCATACACAGTTGTGGGTTTGAAGCCTGCTTTTTGAAACATGAAGAAGATCTATCTGGTTCTCCGCAGTTTCCTTTCAGCTTGTTAAGTATCAGCAAGATCACTAGAAACATCTGGGGGAAACAAACATTTCTTAACATGTGGTTAAGAAAACCACAGAGAAGAGGCTTACAAAACGCACTTTTCAAAGACTGTTTTTGTCTGAGCTGTTGCAGTTATTTAATTGAGAGGAGGCCTATAGCAGCACATGCATGTGGTAGGCAGCAGCAGCAGGTGACCTAATAAAGATACCTAAGAAAAAAGTAATTATTATTATTTTTTTGGTTAAAGACGGAAGAGAATTTTTGGTTTTGTTTTTATTCCACAGCAATAGTGGTACCTTAGGGGGTGGAAAAAAAAAAATCTCTCTTATAAATACCATTTCAAAAGAAATACAATAAAAGTATAGTCTTCCAACAGTACAAATTCTGGAGCATCAAAATCAGCAGAATTTCTGCTTTTCAGCAGAGGAGAGAGTGAAGACTTCATCCTTGCTTGCTTGGTTTCAGAAAACTACTGTGACATGAGGGAATCCATACTTTAAAATAGAAAATAATAATTGAAAAAAAGGCAGTAAAACAAAAAGTTTTGAGTCTATGTGCTGGCTCCATGAAGCAAGCTTTACCTGCAGATGCACATCCATTTCTATCCCTTCTCCCAGTGCTGCGTGGCCCAGGCTCAGAAGGGTGATGGAAGGATCAGCATTATCTAGCCTTGCCCCCTGCATAAATGTCTTTGGCAGCTCATGTGGCACATGCCATCTTCTCCGTCTGCAGGGAAAGGAGAGAGGCAGTGCTGCCTGTAAAGACTCCAGAATGGAGTCTATGGGTCAGCTTCCAGCTGCTATATATAAAAATGTAATTAGTAATTTTTCCTCCTGGCTTCTACCTAAGAAAATGTCCCTTGCAGATCCCTATTAGTATAGAAAAAATGTAACTCTAAAATGCAAATGTTACTGCCTGAACAATTGTGCTCCCTCAGCTCGCATGTCCAGCATTGCTAATCGTAGCTATCTTACTAAATACCATTAAATATTACTGTTCAGAACCATATTTGTTTTGCTGCAGTCAAATCAGGGAATTATGTGCTTTCTCAGAATGAGAAGCCAGGTGTTTCCTACCTGAAATTTATGAGAGTCATCCTGTCATTAAATGAAGACATAGGTAGACTTAAAAATCATGTTAACCACTTCAAACCAGACTTGAATAAAACCAGGAATTAGTAGTGTGTCATTTCTTTTTCCCTTTGGTGATACCACAAAGCAAAACATTTTTTGGCAAAGTTGTTACCTTTCTTAGTAAGCCAGTCCTCTGCTCTAGGGAATATTTTTAAGCACATTGCATTTCTGTTACTTAAGACAGTGCTGTCAGAAAGTTTTTGTTCCATGCAGCGTAATTTCCTCTCTGAATGACTTATCTTCTTTTGAGGAGCCAAGTTTTCTTCAAGGCATCTGAATATCTAGCTTTGTTCATACATATACAATAAATTGCTTTGTGACAAATGACTATCAAGTCTGGTGCCAAGTCTGAACCTATCTAAATGTTTGCTAAAGTCCTAGAGAAACAAACAAATTGTCTCTGATATAATTCAGCTTCCAGGAAAATGTCATTGAGTATTTTTTTTGCCAACCAATCAAATGAAAGCTACTGGACTAAATATATAAAGAAGGTTAATATTCCCCTTCTTAGTAAGAAATGACTACCTTATTTTACTCCATAGTAGCTTTACTAAACACGTAAGAATAACACCACTTAGAAAAGGGAGAAAACAATTTATTGTTACAATATTCTAATCAAAACCTGAAAAACTAAGGTCTGCTGACTAATGTGCTAAATTCATAAAAACTAGTTCAGTCTAACTTCAACATATACTGCAATTTCAGAGTTGTGTCTGCATGAGATGAAAATACCCCTATGTAGACTTCATTGACAATGAAATACAGACACTTTACCAAGTAATAATAGACCCGCATAAGAAGAAGCCGTAAGATCCCCCAAGACCACCTTTAATCCCCCCCAAAACCTCTCTAAAATTTAAAAAAAAATTCGAAAAAAAAACAAAAAAAAATTCAAAAAAAAAAAAAAGGAAAAAGCTCTTTATACTTAATTCAATATGGCTTTTTGCAACATGGCAAAATATTACAGCTTAAAGCATACATCTCCTCACAGAGGAGAAAAGAATTTTGCAGTCAAATTAAAAGTGTAACAGGAAACGAGTAACATGCAGACTCTCTGCTCTTTTTGGCCAAGATGACACTGCAGCCTAACAGAATCTGTGGAGATGTCTTATTTCTCTTCTAAAAAGTTATTCATCTGGATTTGAGGACTGAGGTTTTATCATAATTAATTTGGGTCCATTAATAAATATTTACCGTTAAAGAAAACAGACTGCAAAACACTTGATTTAAAAATTTAACTCAGGAATTTAAAACCAAATTATGTGCCCAAGTCCTGGAAAGAAATATAAGGAATGAAACAAAGTATAACTTAATCTTCATCTATTTCTGGTTTTCTTCTTTATTCCCATCATCTTTGTGAAGAATAGGGAGAGGATGAGCCTCTGTGTTGAAAACCCAATGTTCAAATGGAAGAAGATCATCTTCAGAAAACAGCAAATACAGGTACCTGGCAAGAAAAAAAGCAGGAAATGAGACCACATCTACAAGTGAAACTACAATAGTTTTATGGAAAACATATGATATTACATTTACTTGAGTATTAAATTTTCTGTTGAAATGGCATGACTGCTTTTTTTTCTGGTCCTTGCAACTTCTTCTTGCACAGCAAAAGAAAACAAGTGAGGAAACCAAGCCAAAACTTTGTTCATCTCATTAAAAACTTAGGAAATGATGACAGATAATGAAATCTTTTGGTTTTTTCTTTTAACAGACCCCGTGAGCTTTCCATGGAAATTGACTTCTTTTTCTCTTTCTACAGTTTTCAAATGAAAAGTATGTAATAGAAGCCTGATAAGTCTGGTCAATTTATTTAATTAGTGTTGGCATATATAATTAGATCCTATCAAAGATAGGAGATGCAATTTCTCAAAGACTATCAAGTACCTTTATCAGAAGTAAAGACACTTTCCAGAAGTCAGGGAACTTAGCTTATTGACATAGATGGGGAAAAAAAAAAGGCAATTTGGCTTCCTGTCACCTAAGAAAAGCTATGCTATTCCACTCAGATTTTGTTATGTGAATGTCAAGGGTACTAAAGATAAATACTTATCTGTGAAGATGATACACACAACTACTTCCCATTAATGAAAGTCAACTTTCTTAACTTACTTGAGTGTCTCTGAAAGGAAGAAACTTTGCTGTACATCATCATGGCTTTCATGATTGTTATAAACATCCCTAATGCCAGAATAGCCACCGTCTACTCTGCAGTGTTTTTCCAGTGCCTGAAGCAGGGGAAAAAACCAAAACAGTAGTATTAACAAAATGAATCATCTATTAGATTTTCTTTGTTTGACAATAAAACTAGCCAAAAACAATTGTCACAATTTTTTTGATAAAGAGCTGAAAACTAGATAAAGCTCCAGATAGAAAAACCTCTTTTTTTAAAGTCACGTGCACATGTGTCTAATTTTACATTTAGGAAGAGAAGCAAAATGAGAAATGCATAAAAAGTGAACACAAACAGGCTTTCAGAAGGAAAGATATAGGGGTATGAGGATGTAAAGACATGGATTTTCACTTATTTTCTTTTTCCTCTTTTTAATAGGAGTAACAATAGTCTTTCTCTGCCAAGCTTGTCTATCAGCCTTTGGAGATCACATTACATATACCTTTCTTGGTCATATTTTAATACTTGAAAATGACTGTGATAGAATTTAATACCATCCTAAAGATCAGTCTCTTCCTTAACACCTGCAAGTCCCTTTAAAATAAGGAAAGGCAACTCTCCATTTTGTATGCAAGTTGTTTGGCTTCTATTTGCAATTATTTCAGTTTTCAATGGGAAACACTGATATTGGGCTGTGACTGAATTTCTTTACTGCAGTAGCTGTGTTTTTCTTTGCTATGTTTCTGAAAAAGCTTTGTCAGTTACACAGGAGATGGAAAGTCAGTATGTGGCTGGACTAAACATGTTTTAGCTGTAACAATAACTGTGTTTTTCTCTAACTAGTTTCCAAACTCTGTATTCAATTAAAAGGTGTAAAACAGATGACTGATGCCTATTTCACAATAAAATGGACGACCTAAAATACAATTTCTTTTCTGCCCACAGGAATATCCTATATTTTGAAGGAGATTTATAATTTTGAAGGAGAAAAAAGATCAGATGAAGAGTGTTCACAGAAGGGCAAAAAATATGTATCAAGTGCCAGAACTGTAGAAGGTATATACAGTTAGACAGTTTAACAGACTTTAACTTTTCTTTATTTTAGATGATGAAGTTCGCATTAGAAAGGTTGAAACCATATGTCTACGTATGAGCCATAACTTCTTTAAATGTACTGCTATCCAATACCTTATTTGAATATTAGTTATCACTACTTTGTTTAAAAATATTAATTCATTTTTTTCTTTATAAATGACCTATTTAACAAGGCCACAAGTATTCTTAGCCTCTTAATTCTTCTCAGTCTGTTTTATAACTCTCTTGTATCATGCAGTATAATGAAGGAGTTAGGAGAATCTAAGATGATTTTATTTAAAACAACTCATTATTCAAAAACAAATCCAGAAAATGGTATTTTACCCTAAATGATTTCTCATAATGAAAATGATGGTAAGAATAGTGGATTACTACATTCACTCAGGACCATGCTACTCTGAAACATGATGTTTGCTCTGGAGATGGTATTGGAGTAACAACTTTCAGGCAGAAGTACTTGGGGCTTTATTCAACCCCCAGTAGAGAGCCAGAAGGTAACTAGTTTCTCTGTTTCTGAAGTTACTACTAATATCACTGAAGTGAGTACATGTAGATTTTATTTAGAGAAAGATGCTGCATTTCAAAACACACATGGCAAAAAGATATGAAAAGGCAGAATGTATGTCTAAAACAGGCAGAATAAGCATTTTTTGATGAAAGATGGGACTAAAAGTCACTAATAATTACTGAGGTATCCATCACCTTCACCTGCTCTAAAGACTGCTAGAGATCTGTGTTTTGCTATGAGTAGATATCCTAAACGTCCTTGATTTTGCTGGAGTCCCTGTAGCTGTCTGCACACATTTAGCTTGCATGTCAGGCTCTTCATAGTTTTCACTGGAGACTATGCTGCCTATTGTATATTTAAAAGGGATTTTTCTTCAGGAGAGATCCTTTTAAAGTATAACAGCCTATCTGTCTTTTCTTATGTGTCTTTAGGTTCTTTCATTTTCCTGGATACTTTTACTAAGTGACAAATAATCTTAAGTTTAAACAAGTAATTTCCCCTAGCTGGTACTCCTTCCCTCTTGTCTACTTCAACCTGCAATGAATTCAAAATGCTGAATCTGTCTCTCAATTTTCAATGTCAAACACAAGATGGTGTTTTTCAAGGCACAGCAGAAGGAGAACCTGAAGGATAAGGCTATTATGCAAGGAAATAATCTCCATTCTAAACAGGGCAATGTAAAAGAAAAGCAAATTGCATTTGCTGTTTATATGCTCTTAGAGTCTTGTTTAACTTCACTGTAGGGATACACCATAAAGGTACCAGAACACACTGCTGTGATGTAAACCAAGGGGTTAACTTGTACCATGTCAGCTATCTGGTGGTATTTCCTTGGTGCAAATATGACGCATCTTATCTTTCAAAGCTACTTTCCATGTAATTAAAGCACATTCACCAGCAGGATTAGTAGGATGAAAAGACTCTTGGTTGTCAACCTCCTTTAACTGGCAGTGATGGGCTTTTGTGCCCCTTACCTGCAGTTTCAGAGTACAGTGATGTTCACAGTGACAGGGGATAGTGGTGGGCAGGAAGAAACAATCAAACACATTTTAAATTAGTAGTTCTCAGAAAGCGAGGGTGGCTAAGATCAGTCATGCTAAAGTAATGGAAAACATCAAGCACAGTGAAAACTGGCTGACAGTCTCAAACGATCATAAAGGGGAAAAACAAAGGAAGTGCTACAAATTTAAAATATGTGCCACATTTATAATGCAGAAAGGGAGGCTTTCATGAGCTAAGCTGATAAAACCTTTCTGACTCAGTAACAGTGGATATTACTGGTGGTCATAACTGAATTTTCTCCAGCTGCTGAAGTACATACAAAATGATCTTGGACTAAAAGCAGCAAAGCAAGTTTACAAAGAAAAAAGGGAGAGGCTATAGCATATTTTTAGTCGACAAAAGTTAGAGAAGGACTTAATAGACTTGTCGGAGAGTTTAGAATCATGACTCTAGAGCAGTCTCATTTTGTACTACAAGGGTAAGGGGAAACAAACCTAATGATTTCTTATTGCCAGAGTAATGACTTGAAAATGGACATGAAATACCTGAAGAACAACTTTTTTGGGGCAAAACCCAAATGACCTGATTGTTCCCTCTTTTTTTCTTGTTTCAGTCTCAGGTTCTGTTTTGTGCAACAGGTGCTGGTAATTAAACCAACTACCTCCAGTGGTTGGGGACTTCCCCAAGAACAGAAAGGCTGAAGTTACATGCTCTCTGGGGCAACATTAAGGAGCAAGAGGGAGCAGAATTTATGAAATAGTTGTGGTAAGCTATCATGAAGTGCTGGAACAAAAAACATTATCAAGTGGAGCTGTAGTACTATAAACATCAAGGGAGAGGAGGAAAGAAAAAAAATTGAAAAATATTTTAAACCTTCAACTGTGACTGTATAACTTCTGTGAAGCTGTAAGATTTCTTTTTGTGAAACACACAACTGCACATTAGGACAGTGGAAGATGGGCCCCCTGCAGAATGGGACCAGCTGCATCTCCCCCACACAGGCTGTAATCCATTACATTAGAGCCAGATGAGAGTAACCACAAGAATGTTAAACAAGGAACACATGGGGAGTGCTAAGAAGGTAAACGAATGTACAAACCTGAAAGAAACACAAACAAACCGAACCAACAGGGTAAAGAATAATAATGAGGAAAACATTTCAATTGTTTATAACAGTGTTATCAGTGTGGGCAGTAACAATGAGTCAGGAAAAACACCTCCTGGAGAAGGAACATTTGGAATTGCTGAAGCCTGGTGGGATGACTTCCATTTATGACTGCCAATTATAATCTGCCTGGGAAGATTCCAGTAATAAAATGTGTGCCTATGGGTGGTGCTACCAAAGAAGAAAGTAAGGGAACAGCCCTCTAAATTAGAGGTTTTAAAAAAACAATTGCTTTGGAATCATTAACTCAGAAGCATAGTGTTTCAGGACCACAGAGCCAATACCTGAGAGAGGCAAATATAATGCCCTAAATTAACTACAGTCTACCTAGCTGAACAGAGTGCTCACTGCAGATACAGAATGACTGTGAATATTCAGACAAGAAATTTGAGAGTATAAGTACACTTAATGCTATTAGTCTTTTTTGCAAAACAGATTTTGCCTTTAATTCTTCAAGAATATCTGACTACTGAACTTGAAATGCCTTTTTTTTCATAATGCTCAAAAACATTTGCACAGCATTTGCAATACATTCAGTATCTCACATGGTGAATACTGAATACATTTACAGATCTTGGTTGCTGTTGATGGAGCCATTACCCAGTATGAGCTCTCTAGTGGAGTCCCTCAGGGCACAAGTCTACATGTTCTAGCCTTAGTAAAGAGCAACCTTCTACAACTAGCAGTGTAGGCCACTCCAAGAAAGTTGTAATCATACACTCATACACTCCTAGAAGCAAGAGGTGTTGGGTAAACTGACAAAAAAACCATTTTTGAAATCCTGGAAAGCAATACCTCTGCACAAGAGAGGTTGCTGTGCAAAAAAATACCACACAGAGGTGTGGTGGTTTTTTTTCCTTTTTTTTTTAATATATTTTTCTTAATTATACAGAGCCACAAAAATAATGTCCTTTAGCTTCCTATATTTCCTATCAGACCCCATATAATTTAACATGGGTAACACCAATGTGAGGAGAAAATAAGTGAACTCTGTAAGTGTAATAGGGACCCATACCTGGAGGATGAAACATGGTAAATCTAAAGGCTCTCATCCCTAGCAGTAAGAGTGATTAACCACTGAAATAAGGGAAACAATGGATTTGACAAGCTAATTTTTGCCGTATGGACTAGCTGCCCTCTTGGAAGGCTTGGGCTAGACAAACACAAAAGAGCTAGATTCAGCATTACTGGTTGAAGATCAACTGCTAGTGGGACACAGAAATTTAAATCTAGAAAAGATTGCTATCATTTATGGAGTTTTGTCCAGATGACCTAAGCTTTTTGAAAGTCACCCAGTTTTTAAGTGTTCAGTACTATCTACTACTTCATCCTGGCCTTCATCACCTTAATTAAAATCTCCTTCATAAAATTACTGTTGAAAATATATTTCATAAAACTTATTTCCATGCTGAAGGCTTAAATCTGACACACATCTGCACTTTCCATTCACATGCAGCAATACTCAACATCTTGCACAGTACGTGCAAATGTGACTCTAATCCTAGAAGCATTTAAGAAGGAGAAATCACAAGGTATTTTTCTATTATGCAATACCAGCAGTAATTTGCTTTTTGTCAAAATGATCTTAGTTAATATATTAGTAAATGAATCTCTGGAAATTTGAATTGATATTATTGATTTAAAATAAATATTTACTCTCAAACTGCTAAACAATATCTAGTTATCATTCAATAGCTCACTTAACAAGATGTTAGGATTTAACATGAAAAAAGTCCAATGGAACATTACCTCAACAGCTTCCCATCCCCACTGCCTGTACTTTGGATCATGAGTGAGCCGCCACATGTACATGTAGGTTTCTATGACTTCTGGTCGTAGGATATAGTATTTTTCATTTTGTCTTGTAGCAATGGCCTCAACACCACCATCAAATCTGAAGGCTTCTGGTCCCAGTTTCATGCCTAGCCAATATAAAAACACAGGCTAAAAATAAAGGCATTAAAAAAGGTTTCAAATTATGTAACATACCAAATCAACTAGCCTTTTATGTGGCACAAATCCAGGTTGCCCAAAAGGTAATTCATGAAAGATACTGCAGCACATCCTGTTTTTAATATTTTATAAATAATTCAGAGTAGGAGAGAGCTGTTCTTCACCAATGCCTTAAACAGGGATTACAGTTTGAACAGTGATGCTAACATTTGCATTCTGGAAGACTTCCTATAACTAGCAACATGTGAAATCTTGCTTAAAAGATGAGGATATTTACTTTTCTGTATCAAACCGGAAAATACACTCTGGGACCTGAAATACTGCCAGCATTATTTCTATAAGAAGATGAAAGAATCCAAAGAATTTTCCTGCACAGAAATCCACTTTCTTTGTGCAATTCTATTGTTTGCAGCATTGTATCAACAAAATTGAGTGTAAAATAGTTTTTTTGTGCATAAAATGTGATTAACAGCTACATTGATGCATAAATGAACTGGGTCCCTCTCTTATTTGTATTCAGAAACTGGCATAGTGAAAAAAGCTGTCATGTTAATTACTACAGTGAGGAGGCACAACTCAGGTGCACAGAAATTATTTATAAAATAGAGCATCCTTTTTTAAAATTACTCTTAAAGCAAAGCAGCATTTGCTCAAAAAAGATGAATAGTTCTCACTCTGCTGCAATTTTCATTCAGCATTATACAAAAATACCGATGGCTGCCTTCACAAAGTCAAGCTGTGAAGCTAAACTCTGCAATACAGTACTCACGTGTACGATCATAGGATTCATGGCAAGTCCTCGCAATTTCAGCACCCAGCTCGATGTGATGGCCCGTCTTGTCATTGGGTGCTCCATCTGCTCCGAGAGCAAACATGCCTCCAGCAAAACAAGTGAGATGTCCCATCTTGTGTTCAAGCAGTCCACCCTTCCACTCAGCGATGTACGTCAGCCCCCCGCCTGATTTTCGGATGAGATGGGCCTCTATGGCCTGCAAAAGCACATGATTTCAAAACAAAGGTACCAATTGGTAAAGTGTGAAGGACAAAGTTGTCTTGTGTGTTGGCTATTTTTGCTCCATATTGCCTTTGCTTATAAAATAAAATGGATAACATAAGCAAGCACAATCAGAGTACAGCCAAACCAGTGCAGATTAGCATATATCAGTAATAATGACTAATTTTGCTAAAACTTTGAACAATTTACATGGTACATTTTATAAAAATGTTGGAAAGACCTACAAAATACAATTCAATTTTTGAATTATTTTCTTTCCCTTTCTACTTTGAGCAGCTTCAGGTAATTTCACTTTTAATAGTAATTAGCCATCACTTGAGTTCTGTGTTTCCCATTTTAATTCTGACTTAAAGGATATGGTTATTGATATAATTTCATGTAAACTATATGCAGACATAACTCATATTCAAAACAGTTGACTCAGTGCGTGCACTGAATGATGTCAGGCCTCTGAGTCTAGATGGCATTCCCAAAGTTCCATGAGTTTCCCCTTCCAGACTGAAATCCTCTACTTATCAATAAAGAGTAGGGTCTCACTGAGATTTCTGGAAAAAAAAAATCTAAGCAGAATAAAAATATACAAATCTAGAGAGAATTAGAAGTTGGTGATGCTAGCAACATATGGTCACTGATTACAAAATTCAGGAAAGCAACCTTCCCTTGTGGGAGGAACAGAATTAATAGAGGAGATGCAGAAGAGCACGTTAATTAGAAGTCCACAAAGAAAGTAAGCTATTACTCTTTAAAGGGTAATGGAGAGGAGATAAACAATGCTATCATGCATTCAGTTATCCAGCAGTGCTCTGGTTGTTTTATTGAAATCATAAGACACAGAAACAGTACTTAACATACTTTATACAAGAGAATAATACATTAATAAATATCAGTACAGGCAATTATTAACAAAAACGGCAGGATTTTTTTTAAGTGTTATAAAGAGAAAGTAATGATTGTATTCACTTCTTCTTACTTGAACATTTGCAAAGGTTGTTTCTATAAGCACAGAAAGTCTTCTCTGAAATAGAAGCATCAGGAGAATAATTGTACAACTTTGATGTACTATTTTTTTCTGCCAAGAATGTCACATTGAAAACTACACTTTGTTTTCCACTAAAATTAGTGCAAAGCACTTAGTAGGGATGTTTTCTGCTGAGATATGGAGTCACTATTAGCTCAGGAAACTCCTCTATCCCTTTGTTTCCTCCTTGATTGTATGTTTTTTAGCGCTAGGTACCTACTGGAAAGCATACCTAAATTTTAAGCCGCAGTAAATAATGATGATTCCCGTGCTTTAAACAAATCCTCCTTTAAACAAATCCTGCATAATTCAACCTATAAAAAGAGGAATTATACATGAAGGGGGAATGGTGAGAAAACACAACAATTTTGTGGGAATTAGCTTTCAGACTACTTAAGCATTCTAAAAAATAAGCTACCTAAAACCAAGTTCAGAAAGGAAGAACTTGAATTATATTTCATTAAATTTTTCAGCATGGTATGTCCCATCTCACCAAAACAACAATTCTGGCAATAGGTGATAACTCTACTGGTCAGTTAGCTGTTGGGTCAGAATTTATTTAAAAAACAAAAAATTATAAAAATAGACTGATGATTAAATTTACTATATTGCATTTTTTTAAAGAAAATAATTACTGCAAGACAAAAAGAAGTAACTGACAGAAATAACAGCAGTGACGCACTTTTGAACAACAGTAACTAGACCAGAGTTGATTCTTGTAGTACGAAAATGGATTTTGTGATAACAATTAGTCATTGCAAGTTTTTGCCCCTCTTTTGGCTCAAGCTTAAAGCTCAGGCTGAAAAAAGACAACTTCCACTTGAGAAATTTTAAAATTATTCTAACAAATGGGTGTTAAGAAACTAACAAATTGATGTTGATTGATGCCAAGAATGTCACAAAATAAAAATATATTTCCAATTTAAGTATTCATGTTTCGTTAAGCAAATCATCTCAGTTTTATAAATGGGTCCTATTAAGAACTAGTACATATGTCTATTAAAAGTTATTTTATTATGTAACCATCTTACTTAAAGCTATTTTTATTAGGTAGTTATTTGATATATTACAGACTCTCAGACTACCTTGTCATACTTTGTAAAATCATGGGTCCCTGAGTGCTAGATAGCAACGTATATGCCTTTATTAATGGCATGCCAGGTCACTAATCATTTTTACCTAGACATGAAATCTGAAGTTTAACAGTCGGATGGAAAGGTAGGGTTACATTCCCATAGAGAAATGCTACTTGGTATCTGCAGTGCTGTGGGTGCAGTTTTGGCAGGGAAATAAAGTGAGTAAAACAAGTTATTATAAAAGGACAATAGGTAGTATGGTGACAAAGATCCACCCAAGTGAACAGTTCTGTCTGGTATAATTAATTTTGCATTTCATACTTAAAATCACTTTACTTTTATTTTTATATAATTATGTACTCATTCAAAGGGACATATTTATTTGAATTGCAGCTCTATTACAAGTTGCTCGCCACCTACAAGTAATTCCTTCCTGCACTGTTTGCAGATCAGGTGGTGGGATGGAGCACTCCTTCTATGAGGAAAGGCTGAGAGAATTTGGTTTGTTCAGCCAGGAAAAGAGAAGGCTTCAGGGTGACCTAACTGTGCCTTCAAATACCTGAAGGGAGCTACAAGAAAGATGAAGAGAGATTATTCATAAGACCATACAGTGACAGGACAAGGGGGAATGGATTCAAACCAAAAGAATCATAGAATCAACCATGTTGGAAAAGACCTGTGTACTCACACAGGTCAATAAGTTTTTAGAGCCAGACTTACTTTTACGGTTGATACAGTTCCTGGCAATTTTTCTTTTTGAGCTTTTACATAAGGCTCTGCTTACAGACCTTACTGTGGTAAAGCCTTTAGCCAAATAACTTTTTTCTCCATCTTGTGAGAAATTATTCCTTTATACGACAACTTTATAAATGCTTTAGCACTCAATTAGAAACAATAATAGTCCCTTTTACAGTTTGAATTGTGGCTCAAGTGCTCCTTGTATTACTACTGGCATCTTTCTCATGAGTTTGCATGTTAAAATTATGCCCTTGCCTATCTGTCACAGTAAATGAGACATTAGGAATTGTTTCAACTACAGGATTGCAAATTGCACCTTTGTGTAATCTATGTTATTGACAGCACAAAAGAGAAACTCTTCAGCTTTTCCCAACCTGATTTGCATCCCCTCTTGCCTTCTTTGTTAAGGCAATGTTTTGTGTTCTCTGCTTATCAGCCTGTTCCTTAACCTATACATTATACTTGCACAATTCAGTAGAACTGGATCCTCCTAATAAATACCCACTTTCCTTCATTCAGTTCTTCACTCCTTTAAGATTTTCATGCAGCTTAAATGATGTCTTCACCACCCCCTTCCTCCAATTCTGACTTGATTTTGTCATTGATAAGTCCTTCGTTTACCCTTTGAGTTGTTTAAAATAAAATTGCATTGTTTGTAGGGAAACACAGAAGATACAGAACTGAATCATCTCACTGTTCAAATGAGTTAACCCCCCCCATCAACAAACTTATTTTTACATGTATTGTCTTAGTGGATTACACTGACAGGTAATAAAAACACTAACAGAGATGCCTACAGAGCACAGATGGAGGCTTCTCAGGAAAAATGATAACCTCAAGGTTGCTCAATTCAAAATAAACATTTGGCTCAAAAACATTAACTCTGCTAAAGGAGCAGAGATAATAAATTACAAACCTCAAATTGCCATGTAATCCCACAGTTCTACTACCTCTAGCACTTAGGCATTTTACCTCTCCTTTTACAGTAACTTCTAAATTATGATTAATGAATTTCAATGATTACTACTGTTTTAACAAAAACCAGGTGTTTCATTTCCCACCTCAAGATGTCACTGTAGCTGGAGATAAAACTGCCCTGCAAGACAGTTACATATTTCCATACCTTAATAAATTTGAAACTTCAAAAATATTATTCTAGTACTAAATTGCAAGGGTTTATAATGTTTGTTTTGGCGATAATTACAATTCTGCAGGCATCTTCATAACAAAGCACTATAAATTATCTCAGTTCAAACTTTTAATATATTTTTCTTCCCCTAGGACTTCTCATAAACAGTATTTTGATGATCTGAAGCAACAATGAGGATGAAAGAGAATTCTACCATGTGATATTTCCAATAATTCATAGATGTATAATGTCAATTACTTATTTATTTTAATATTTACAGCTTGCACCAATATATTTTATTGCTTTGAAACAGCACACAGCAGGCAGGTAAGGTTTTCATGCAGTGACTTTCTAAGTCAATTGTCTGTTTTCTTCACTTTGCTACTTCCCTTATGTTTTCTCTATTGAGTTGATCTAGTGCCAATAGATACTTTTTTTCATCAACCTTCATAATTAATCAAATTTATCCTTTATCAAAAATTCCAATGAGTTTATTATGAAAAGTTTATAGCTGAAATAGGAGGTTCAAGCCCTTGCTACTTATAAGTTAAATATACTTCTGCCAAAGAAAAGTGGCATCTTATCCTTATGGAGCTTTAAAAATCAAAACTGAAATCTGAACACGGAAGAACTTTCATTTGTTTAAACACAGTACGTAAGAAACATTTTGAAAGCACTAAAGAACTTCCTGCTTTCGGACTTAAGACATGTTATGCAGACAAGATTACAGGTGCAATGAAATATGAGTGCTTATAATGGAGATGCCTAAATGTTTAAAATGGAAGCATTGGCAAATATTTAACTACAGTGATATCTATTCATCTGATCACTAAAAAGAAAATTATATTCTAGGGGAAAGCTGACAATTTACTTTTGTCTGAAAATCATTATTTTTTTCCCTCTATAGATCTATCAGTGTCTCTAAAAGCACCAGTGCCCTACTACTAAATGTAGTTAATGCTGTCTGTTACCAGAAGGCTAAATTTATTCATATTCTTAAAGCAGTATTAACG